AGAAGGTAATTATGTTTTACCAGAAAAGGATATGCAGTAAAATTTATTTAAGCTTTATTTATAAAAAAATGTAACCTCCTTTATTTTCAACTACTGCAGATAGAAAGTGTGACACTGAAATCTGAAGGCACATTGGGATTGTGAAAGTTGCCTTCTAAACTGTTATGTAATATCAGTGTTGTCAATCATGGCTCTCCACAATTTCCTTTGTAGTTCTTTTGTCTTTTTTTCGCTCTTTCCTAAACTTTGCCCCGCCATACATTTACTCAAGTTTCATAGGTAGATTACATATTACTTTCCTCTTTCTGTCTTGCCTTCAATCTGTCCTGTTTGAATCAAATTTTCCACGCCTTCTTTCCTCTTTATGTGCCCTAGAAATTTAAAAAAGAACAAGGTTATTTATGGATGATATGTCACTTCGAGTTTTTGTTGTCATACTTGGCAGCCATTATTATTTTGAAGCAAGCCTTTTCATGAGTCATCGAGCAGACTAATTCTATATGGGCCAATATGGGCTGCAGCCTGGAGATCCCAAGTGCTCTCTAGTCTTGGTCCTCTGATAAACCTAAAACAAATTTTCCAGTCTTTCTTTCCTCATTATGTGCACTAGAAATTTCAACTTTCTCTTACTGATGTTAAGTATATATATCCTTTTTGTTTCCATTTTTTCTATAAATTTGTCATTACTCATATATTTGGTGCATGGTATTCTCAGCATCCTTCTGTAGTACCATATTTCTGCTGCTTCAAGTCTCTTCTTTATCTGTGGAGAGATTGTCCAGCATTCACTGCCCTATAGGGAGACTGATATTACATAACAGTTCAGTTATATTTTTATATATCAAGAACAGTATTAGGGAAATTGTATGACAAAGTGGAAAACATTTACTTGTGATGTGTTTATTCCTTCAGGACTTCATCAAACTAAATTTATTATGTTGGTGTGACTACACATGCACATGAATGAGGATTGCTGGGGATTTTAGAATTTTTTGAATATATTTTTTTTTTTAATATCTAGCCAAATTCATTTAGAGCTTTTTTCTTTTTCTATTCATCACTTTTGTTAGTAGGTATCCAACACTGATATTAGAAGATCTGCCAGAAATGGTAAAATATTGCAAAAGCCAAGCTGCAAAATATATATATATATATATATATATATATATATATATATATATATATATATATTTTTAAGCATTTCACCCCAAGCAAGGTGAGAAGCCACTAGGACGCAAGGGGTTACAGAAAATTTAGAGCAAGATCAGATAGGAGTGATAGAGGAAAGTATGAGGAGAAGGATAGTGGATAGATCAAGGCAACTGGAGATGTCGATTGACATTACATTTGAATAGCTGGAGATTATAGCTCTCAGGGAAACTGGAATAGAGAAAGGAGTTCCACAGGCGAGAGCTGCAAGACATGAAGCTATTGGAGTAGAAGAGACAGCTACATTTAGGAGTTTCAACAGTGAAAGGGTGAGAGTGGGATGCCAGCCTCGTAGGGCGCTTGAACTCATGAAGTCTGGGAACCAGCAAATGCAGCTCCTCGGAGCAATTACCATGAAAGTATTTGTAAAAAAGACAGAGAGAGGTGGCGACACGTCTGTGAGTAAGTGACTGTAGACGAGATGCCAGAGCAGGGCCAATTATATTGCATATCCGCCTCTGGAGCCTATCAAGAACCCCGAGGCAAACAGAAGGGGCTCCAGACCATATATGGAAGCAATACTCCATGCAAGGGCGAATTGTTGATTTGTAGATCTGGAGGATCGATTTCAGGGAGAAAAAGTTCCTGGCGCGGCACAGGGAGCCAACTTTCCTTGCGGTGGCCGAAGCAATTGACTCAATGTGTTTGTTCCATCTCAGGTCAGCAGTCAACGTGAGACCGAGCAGCCGCAGAGAGGTGCTCTCAAGAAGTTGAGCGTCAGAGATTCTAATGGAGAGCAGGGAAGGATTAACAGAGAGCAGTTTTGTTATATATTTACATATATATTGATAAAATTATAGTTTTAACATATGCTATATTTATGAGTAAAAGTGGTCAAAATATCAGAGATATAGCATACAAGTATGTAAATATAAATATGGACACCGAGTTCAACACAAAGCAGCGATACTCATATTGCCTGAAGATTGGGTTCAAGCATGAAACAGACTGTCGCCACTCGGTGTTGGCCTCAGTCTGTATTCTATATATATATATATATATATATATATATATATGTGTGTGCGTGTGTATGTCTGAAGTGTATTTGGGCAGTAAGTTTTATTTACACAAGTTTGGTTAAGACCAATGAATGTTCTTTGTTCAGGATTTTTAATTTAATTTATTGTCTCTATTTCAACCCATTGTTATAAAATAAAATATGACATATCTCGGCTGATTTACAGACAAATAAACTAACATACTCAAGAACGAGAGCCGGGTGTGAATGGGACAAGGCTCTGTCACAAAATGACCATTATCTTCGTTTATGCATGTTCCCGATGCACGAGTTCCAGTCGAAAAATAAAATAATATTTTAAAGTGTTTCTATTTTTTGACTAATAAAAATGCTTCCCTCCTAATTATACTCGCGTCATTTCTTGAGCCTGTTGAGCCATAAAAAAAACGCCATAAAAGGGGTCATATGGAAGTACAATGGCAGTCAACAGGAGGCCAGGGAAGAGATCTGTCATGGTCAGTCTGGGCAGTCAGCAGCAGTCAGCAGGAGGAGCACCACATCAACTAATGAGAACTACTATGAGAGATCAACTCAGATTGGCAGCCGGCTTATGAACTATACCACAAGGTAGCTGTCCCAAAACCACACGTTCCTATTGAAATAAATCACGTAAATCTATTTCTGCTGTTGTATTTCTTTCTTGCAACCATACGCTTGTCTATAACACCATTTACCTGGTTTCTGATATATATTCAAATATAAATCAACCAATGCCTGAATACTTTCAGCTTTCATAAGACATTATGCATTTTTTGTTTTTCTGCAATGTTTCATTGCCTTTCCTATCACATAAAAATATAAAAAAACAACTACAAATGCTGGAAGCATTAAGCATAAAATCAAACAACCCAATATCAATGAAATGCAATCAAATTTAGAAACATACTAAATATATTTCATAAACCACATGCAGGCATAATACTTTAAAAAATATGTCATGACACATAAAGACTGAAGCTACAATATTTGAAAAACAATGAAGCTGATATTGTAATTTTTGTACTATTGACTGTACATGTTTTAATCATTATGGTACTTTTTAATATACATTGTTTACATACTCTTTTCTATATTATAGTTTGATAACGTCACGGAGGAGTAATGGATAGCAGCTCAGATTTAGGAAATGGAGAACCAAGTTTGAATTCTAGTCAAATCCATTACATTCACTTACATGTTAATACCCTTGGGAAAGGTATGAATACACTTCTTCCCCACCAGCTATGGGTAAATAGCAGGACAGACCAGGTTCTATAGCCTTGGATGGCAACTGGTCTACCGCAGAAAGAAATGACAACCTACTGCGGGAAAAAATCTGCCTCGTCAGTCATGTATCGAAACATATTTAATCACCTTAGCATGTATCACATATGGCACATAAGTGACTGATGTTACCACATTTCTATTATATCAACAACAAGCAGAATAAAAGAAACTCCTTGTGGCAGGATATAGAACCTTTTTAGGGAGAAGGTTAAGTGTAGGGATACAAATGATCATTATGTCCCTTTTTTTGAGATAGCCACATGGATCATGTGACTGTTGGTGAGTCACGTCAGGAGGATGTCCCTGGCCCACAGTGGTAAGTCTGACAGGAAAAAACACATGGCCTAACCAGGTTCATAGAGAAATTGCTCTAACCCCAGTTTTCCCTTTGAGATATATTACAAGTAACGTTCCCCTTTTTTTACACAGTGTTTGTTGTTGCATATATGTTATAATTTTTCTGCATGGAATATGTATATATAGTTTTGTGTATACCTTAGTGGTATAAATGTCTCTCTCAGAATAAAACATGTTTATCATTCATTTTCCATTCAGATATTCCATACAGTCTGTAAGATATGGTTTTACTATATCTTGAATATAATAATGCCCATAATAGAGGAAATGTAACTGGGAAAATAAACCTTTCTTATATTGCCCTCTCCTGTTATACTGACTTTGCACAAGAAACAAAAACACTTTTATAATGGTTTATGAATGTTGACATTGAACAATTTCTATCTGAGTATGTACCAGGAATCAGGAAAAACGTAAAATGTTTCTAAAATATAAAAAAGTTAATAAAAATCCTTTAGAAAGAACTTATATTGGTCTTTGACCAAACTTATTATATATATATATATATATATATATATATATATATATATTTATATGTGTGTGTGTGTGTGTGTGTGTGTGTATGTATATATATATATATATATATATATATAATTATTTATTTAAAAATTATAACATAAATATATTTATAAAATCACTACAAAAATAGCCATTTTCTTTCAACACTTTTGGTGTCTTATCAAGTGATGATGTTGAATGTAGATTGTAGAATCTACAATCTACATTCAACATCATCACTTGATAAGACACCAGAGGTGTTGAAAGAAAATGGCTATTTTTGTAGTGATTTTATACATATTTATGTTATAATTTTTAAATAAATAATTATAGTCGTTCTACTCTGTATTGAGCACTCTTTTAAGAATAGTAATTGTTGGTGATTGGAATTTATTCCGTCTACACCAATCATACACTTGGTTATATATATATATATATATATGTCACAGTGTTTGTTGAATACTGTTTCAGGTTGAAGTGAGTTGACCAGTAGCAAGTTGAGACTGGTTTTCTTGTCAACAAACCTCTTATCAATTCATCTTCCTTGCTCTCAGGGCAAATCAAATGTCCCATCTTTCGTGTAGGCTTCTTCACTTGAGATGCAAATGGTGTCCAATCTCCACACACAACTCCCTCAGGACATCTTAGTCTCATGATTTTACTGTTCTCTCTCTCTCTCTCTCTCTCTCTCTCTAACAATCTCTTGTTTTCTCTTCTAACTTTTTCATATGCCCTCTATTCTGTTACTCTCCCTCTCCCATTCTCTTCTTTCTCCTCTATTCCACTCTATGTCCTTCTACTTTATTTCTCTCTCTCTCTCTCTATTCGATTTTTTTTCCTTTTTCTATTCAGTCTTACTCTATCTTTTTCCATCACTCTTTTTCAAGTTCTGGGCTTACTCTTTCACATTTTTCTTCTTTTTTTCTCTTCAGTCTTGGCTTATGGCCTCATCACATTGAAACACTGGTTCCTATATGATCACCAAAGTTAAGCAACATCAAGCCTGATGGGTGACTGCTTGGGAATACAAGGTACTGTATGCTTTGGATGTGCAGGTGGTGCTGTGAATAATGACTCCAAATTGTTAACTGGAGAGCCGAGTTCCAATTACAGTTGTGTTCATTATATTCACTTATGCACAAATACCTTTGGGGAAAGTATGAATCCACCTTTTCTCCCCACAGCTATGGGTTGATTATTAAGACTTGTATCACTAAAAGTATTATTTTCTCTATCTCAAAAAAAAAAAAAAAATTAAAATTGCATACAAAATATTTTGATTTTAGCATTAAATAACCCATAGAGGTGTTGATATACCATTTAACAACAACAACCAACAAATCAACCAATTGTCATCCTTTCTTTCTTTCTCTATATTCTATTTTCTTTCTTTTTTCTCTTCAGTCCTGTCTTACACTCTCTTTTCTATTACCTCTTGCTCTTATCCTCTCTCTCTCTTTTCTGTTAGTCTTTCTTTTTCTCCTCCTCAATTCTATTACTCTCTCTCTTTCTCTTTTGTCAATCCTGTCTTAATTTCTCTCTTTTCTGTTTATCTTTCTCTTTCTATTATCTCTGTCTTCTTCTTTCTTTCCATCCTGGGTATGACGATAAACTACATCCATGTCCTAGGTAAGACGATAAACTACGTCCAGCAGCAAGGCCTCTAATCAAGAGGTTTTGAGGAGTGTGGAACCACCTCTTAATTGCTGGTGTTCCCAGGTCCACCCTGACCTGGGGTAGTAGCACCTGTTAGGGTCCCAGCTATGGGCAAATAGTTAACCCTGAAACTGGAGTAAAAACACTATGAAAGTATAAATTCAGGTTTTAATACCAGAAATACTTTGTAAAAAAATTATTACCAGGAATAAATTTTTGAAGAAAAAACTATTTTGAAAAATATTGCCAGCTATTCATTTTTGTGGAAAAAAATATTACAGGCAATACTCTTTTGAAAAAAAATATTACCAGCAATACATTTTTGAAGGAAAATATTAGCAGAAATAGATTTGACAAAACAAAATAATACCAGCAAAAAAAAAATGAATAAATAAAAGAAAATAAATTGGCTGCATTAAATAACCAATTGAGGTTGATGTGCCATAAACCAAACCAATCCAAACCAATCTTCTTTCTTTATTCTGTTACCCTCTCTTTCTTTCTTATCCTTTTTTACCCTCTTTTTCTCTTAGTCTTTCTCTTCGTTCCTCTCTTACTCTTCCTCTATTCTATTACTCTCTCTCTTTCTCTCTCATCTATTATGTTTTATTTTCTCTTTATTCTGTTACTCTCTTTCTCTTTATTCCTGTTTTATAGTTTTGATGTCTCTCTTTCATTGAATGTTTTGTCTACACTCTTCCTCTCAATTCTATTACACACACACTCACTCACTCCCTCTTCTTCCTCTGTCTCCATTATGCTCTTTTTCTTAAATCATGCCTTCACTTTTCACTCTCTTCAAATGTTTTGTCTCTCTTTCTCTCTCTCTGTATTTTATTACTTACTCATTCTTTCTTTCTTTTCAATTTTATCTTACTTCTTCTCTCACAGTTTTAATACTATCTCTACCTCTTTCTTGTTTGTTTTTTAGTCCCAATTTCTCTATCATTTACACACTTTTCTCTTATTTTCTTTCTTTTTTACCTTCTTAACTTTCTCTGTATCACTGCCTCCTATATCTTTCGTTTCCTCCTCTAATTATATCACCATTACTCTCTCTCTGCTTTCTTCCTTTCTCTCTTTCCTTTCCCTCTTTTTCTCCCTATTTCATTCTCACCATCCTTTCTTTTAATCTCTCTTTTACTCTTAAATTATCTCTCTCCCACTCAGTTAAATGAGTCTTCTCTCTCTCTCTCTCTCTCTCTCTCTCTGTACATATCTCTTGTTTGCACAAAGATGTCTTTTCCATTTACTTGACATCTTTTTATTAAATTTTCGGCAACCATTTAATAATTATGTATTTACATTATTCAGACTATTGTCCTCATCTTTGTCGCCATATTACAACGTTTCGGCCGTTGTACGCTCTGGTTTCATCAGGTGGTTAGAATGTCGAACTGAACCCTTTATTTCACTTACTGGGGTAGACTGTTCTAGTTCCATGTGCCATGTTTAATGGATGTCAGTTATCAGTTATCTCCTGTTAATTTCCCTCTGAAAGTTCTCCACTGCCTTAGCCAGGTATTGAACTCAGAGTCTTTGGGTCCTGTTACTGGATCTAACTAATGCCTTTATCCACCGTGGAGAACTTTCAGAGAGAAATTAACAGGAGATAACATATATACAAGCATATATACCAATACCAATTTAAATATTGCAGATATTGGTTAGATAATCACTACATTATCATGCTGATTAACATTGTCATTTATCAATTAATACTTTAATTAAATCATATATCACCAACAAACAAAAAAAATCTGATAAATTCTTACAAATAATACAAAAATAGTATATCATGAATACTATATTGTGTCAATTAATATATCATTTATCTGATACTAGTTCCTTTAAATCCCATATCACCAACCAACATAAAATAATAAACACAAGAAATCTGAAAAATCCTTACCAATAACACAAAAAGAATATTATATCACATAAATTGCAAACAACTACAAATATTGAAGTATTAAGCATAAAAACAAACAACTTAAAAGCAATAAAATGTCATCAAATTTAGAAGCAAAAATACTAACTGTATTTCATAAATAAAGAAATGGCATTATAATACAAATTATCATGTGAAGAGTTGATAGTTTAAAATATTGACATGAAGCGTGAAGATGTGATATTTAAAAAATGATAAAACTGACATAGCAAAAAATATCTTTGTTAATGGCTTATGAGAAAAATATATATATATATATATATATATATATATATATATATATATATATCAAAGTGTAGGAGAAGGAACAGTAGGATTACAGTGTTCAAAATATTAATTTAAAAATAGTACTCAATGCATAAAGTAGAGACATAAATATTTATTTATCTTATGCAGTGTTATATTAGAACATGCATATATCCAATACAAAATTGCACATTTTTGTTTCAACGTCAAAAAAAGGGAAAACATTGAAACAAAAATGTGCAATTTTGTAGTGGATATCTGCACATTTTAATGTAACACTGCATAAGATAAATAAATATATATATATATATATATATATATATATATATTTTAAGACATTTTTATGTTTATACATTCTTTTTATACATACAAATATTTAAGTAAATGCTCTGTTTATAATAAATATTATTTATTTTATAATAATAATAAAATAATAAAATACTAAAAATTAATAAAATACTTAAATATTAGTATCTTTAAAAAGAATGTATAAACATAAAAAATGTCTTAAAATAATTGTCGAACTTTGTCCATTTTCATAATATATATATATATATATATATATATATATATATATATATATATATATGTATGTATATATACCAGAAGAATTTTACGAAAATAGATGACAAACTGGTAAAGTTTTTCATAGTCTGTCTATATTGCTGAGATGAGGTATTTTACATTATTCGAACTATTGTCCTTATCTTTGTCACCCTATTTATCACAATTTCGGCCATTGTGGTTGGAATTTCAAACTGAACCCTTTATTTCGCTCACGTGTCATGTTTAATGGATGTCAGTTATCAGTTATCTCCTGTTAATTTCCCTCTGAAAGTTCTCCACTGCCTTAACCGGGCATTGAACAGACATTTTTGGTGTCCTGTCACTGGATCTAACCAACGCCTTTATCCACTGGTTAGACAAAGATGTGGACAATAGTCCGAATAATGTAAATAAAGTTTTTCATGTGACACATTTAACCCTTTAGGATTTCATTAGACAGACTAAAACTGATGTTTAAGTTGATGTATTTACACATGCGCATGAAAGAAAAGGGACACTTAAGGTCCAAATGTATAGAATGTGCTTTAATCACAAGATCATCCATAGTAAAATTACATCTTTATTATAATTATTTCTTTTTTTAAAAATATGATTCTATTGTGACACAGAAATTTCTATTTTTCAAAACTGAAACTAAAGTTGTAAATTTAATTGTAAATATTAAACTTAAATTCCAGAGTTTCGTTCCCTTGTCAAGCAATGTTAGGAATAACTTTCTCAGAAATATTATTTAATTTATAAGCACAAACAATCTTAATATTTTGAGTTGTTATGGTTAAGAAAAATTCAGTCTATTTTGATTAGGGGTGGTTGGGTTTTAATTTCCTTAGGCAACTTATGTATCAAATATATGTTGTTTACAAAGTCAGGTTAAGTTTACTTGGGGTGGGGGTGCCTGCTCACAATCATAGACATCCATTATTCAGTGTGTTGTCTAGGTTTTCAATGATAAAAAAAAAATTTTTCCTTAACCTTAATGTTATGGTCCAGGTTAGGACCAAGGAAGAACAACACGAACACAAGAGTAGAAATAACGAAGGTATATTACACAAAATAATAATACAAGATGTGGACGGTGTTAGTATGACTGTCAGTCTGGTTTGGAGTGAACTACTATCGGCCCGACTCGATTTGTCCCTCTCTCTTGAGAGGCGTAGTATACATAGTGTTAGGAAGAGTTCATTCTGTAGTTACAGGTAAGGACCCATGACACTTAATGACTCAAAATATTAAGATTGTCTGTGCTTATAAATTAAGTAATATTTCTTAGAAAGTTATTCCTAACATCACTTGACAAGGGAATGACAATCTTTTATTTTTAAGTTTAATTTTTATAATTAAATTTACAATTTTTGTTTCAGTTTTGAAACATAGAAATTTCTGTGTTGCGATGGAATCATATTTTTACAAAAGAAAATAATTATATTATTATGCTCTACTGTTTGTATTGAGCACTTTTTTTTTAAATAAAAATAATTGCTAAGAACACTGGATTATAAATCTTACTGTACTTTCTTATTATTTTAATATATGTAAATTTACGTCCATGTTCTTAGAATATTTCACCATTCTTGACAGATCTTCTATTATAACAATGTGGGACATTTATTAGCAAAAGAGATGGATGTATAAACAAAAAGAAAAAGAAACTAAATGAAATCATCTTTCTATTCAAACTTGTTTACACATCTCTATTTAGCCATTTATCTCTCTATCTCTCCCTTTATCTTTACATCCCTCTCTCTTCTTTCTGTTTTGCTCTTTTCCTCTTTTCTCTTTCTCTTTTCTATTTAGACTTCTTTCCATATCTGTACTTATCAGTCTCTCTCTTTCTCTCCCTTTACTTTACATGCCTCTCTTTCTCTTCTTTCCTGTCTTCCTTTCCTTCATGTCTTGGAGCAGCAGCAGAACTGCCCATTGTAATAAACTTTGTTGGAATCTTACCATTCCCTTGGTTCAAGGAACAGAAGAATTTCTCTCAGAGGACGTTGAGAAGGATTAAAGATAATACCTGGAGAAAGCTTTCTCATAAATATACAAGTGTATGTTCACTTAAAAATCTTTCATCAAATTGGACATACCAAGATTTGCTTCAGTGCAAATCTCATAATTTTTGACAGCTCACCAAAGCATTACCTGGCATTAGACTTCTCACCTCAAACTTCAGAGAACAAAACAGAAACAACAAAAAATAAGTGGCATCTCAAATAAATACAGAAAAAAACTGAACTACAAAAACTGAAAAAAAAAACATTTAAATCAATTACTGTTCAGATTTGAATTTCAAATTTCTGATGGCAATGATCTTTCCTAATAATTTTTTAATGCTAAAGCAATGTTGTAGTAATCTTCTCAAAAAGGCAGGCTTTTGTAGCGGAGACTTACCTTGGCAACCCAAAAGGGTTAGAGCCATGTGTATGTTTTGTAATGGAGTGTGGAGATGGTGGATTGGCGAGCTTTGGTCTGAATCAGGTAGAACTTTGTGTAGACAGAAATGGTGGTTTCACTTTTATTGACTAGTTCTGGGTGCTCATTGGCTGAGCAATGGCTTGGTCAGGTGCATAAAAGCATTGTATGCTCATTCAAGAGGGAGTCTTGTTTCTGACGAGGAGTTGCATATTTGAGATTGAGGGATAGAAATAATTGTGGAATTGATTTGCTTATTGGATATGTATATTTGGTGTATATTTTTTTGTGTTTTTTTCTGACCAATTCTCACACAACTTTGAAAAATCAACCTCTGAAAATTTAGCTATTATCAGTTCCTGCCATTTATTCAATACACTATCATCATTCAATCTTTGCAGAATCATCAATTTGTCAGACATAGTTTTCAATCTGCAGACAAAGGAACAAATTATATTTTTTTAACCATTTCACCCCCAAGCAAGATAATAAAGCCACTAAGATGCAAGGAGTTAATGAGTGTAAGAGAATATGTGAAAAAACATTAAGGAAAGAGGTCAATAGAAGAACACGAATTAAGAACATAAAAGATAATGATTGACATTGCATTTAAATTATTGAAGATTAAAATTGACTGGAAAGCAAGTGACCGGAAGAGATTTTCACAAGCGAGAGGTGCAACAGAAGAAACTGTTCACATAGAACTTATGGTTACATCTAATCATTTCAACTTTAAAAGGATGAAAACTAGCAGCCAATTTAATACTGTGCTTAAATTTGTAAAGTTAAAGTCCTGATAAAAAACACAAACCCTGGATAAAAAAGAAATTTATACAAATGAGAAAAAGTCACTTTGTTAAACAAAGCATTTTCATTGGTAGCCTTAGAATAGTCCTGTAAAAAAAAATATGGGAATGGATGCTATAAAAAAACATATTTCCATTGTTTTTTGAATATATCCA